GAAGAAACGGGCCTCACACCACGAAGACTTTCACGCGGTCCGATGGTCTCGCTATATTTTTTTATTTTTCTGTCGTATACGTTGTTAATATAAATCTTCAAATGAATTAAACAGATAAGCGCGCCTATTTTTATGAATAATTATGTCCCATTACGTTTTGAAAAAAATTATATTTTGTCTTGTGTTGATCACATTATCGTAAATATTACGAGAGTATAAAATGATCACATCAAAAAAAAAGCGCAATCTCAAGGATTTGTTTCTTCGATCATAAATGGAAAATCGAAGAAACAATTGGATGAAACTATGATTTATATCTATTTTTGCAAACCTATCACAATGATTACTTCATTTGCAATTCTGAAAATGATTTTCAAATCATTGAATGATCAATAATTTGAAATAGAGAATAAAAATGATCGATTAATAAGATAATCGTATATTTTTTATTTATTTTTTTCTTTATATTAATCATTTTCATTATTCAGTTTTAGTTTTTTAACATTATATTTATTTAATATTGATTTATAGAACATATTTTATAAATATACATTTTATAAATAATTTCATTTTTTTAAAAAAAAAGTGATAAAAATTTTTCTACTTTCGAGTCACGTATATGTACGTCGAGTCACGTATATGTTCTTATTCTTTTGACGAACTGCTATTATTCTGCCATACATTTATAAGTAAAATTCCTCTTAAATACATTTGAATGCAAATTATGTGAAAGAAATTATGAGAATAAAATGGTAATTACTTGGTTTAATAATTGTTTTGTTAAAAAACAATTGTGAACGTGAGTTGTTTTTTTATTATAAATTTCTTTTTAAAATTGTATAGGCAAAGAATATAATATGAATGAAATTTAAGTTTTAAAATACTCTACAATTTCAACAAAGGAAGTTAATATAATATAGTTTATTAAAGTTTTAAACTGATATATTCACTGCAAAATTGTGTTTCAAGTAATTTATTTATTAAAAAAAAGTCACCTACATTACTTAAAAACATTAACTTAACAATGTACATTGCAAAAATATTTTTATAAATTTACAATTAATCTCTCGGAATCTTGTTTAACTTAGATTTATTAACTTCGGAATTATCGGCGACAAAATCCTTTTACCAAGTTTTCCTAAACTTTTAACAAAAAACATTAAGTATTCATATCATAATACCAATCGTGCCTTTTTTATATCATGAAATCTATATTAAACAAATCTATATTAAATTAAAGCGAATTTTTCAAATTTCAAAAATAATAGAAAGCAAAAAAAAAATAAAAAAAAACTTACCGCGAAGAACGTCTGCTGGAATGAGTCTTCTAAACGTTTTAGGACGTTCTTCCTCTTTCTTCTCCTCGGCAGCGAAAACAATCGCTATGACAAATAACAGGATCGGGGCGAACTTCATCATCTTGAAGATGACACGGGAGAGAAAGAGAGAAAAAGAGAGAGGAAAGAGAGAGCAGACCCAACGTACCTCTAAAGAGGAGAAAGAGAAAAAAAAAGGATCCTCGTATACTGATTAAGACTGGTTGGGTCCGATTCCCGTACCGGCATTTTATAGTTGTTCATGGGGCGGGGTCCTATTGTCCCCACCAAACATTTATGGTCTCTCACCTCTTGAACCACCAGTCACCAAAGGATCGTTCACGTCCCCCGATGCTCGATCGTATGAGCTTCTCGTTCACCAACGGTGGACGCGTATGTACACCTGAACGGTACATAGAGTATGCGACAATATAGAGTATACATGTTGCGCTCTCACACTGTTGAAAGATGCAAATGGAATCAAATCCACGACCAATGCATTCCAGTTGCAAGTGATACATATGACAAACTGGGTTACCATTCAGTTTACGGATCTTTCTTCTTCTTCTTCTTCTTCTTCTTTTTTTTTTTTTTTT